AAAGATGGCAGCCTAGAGGTGACAGGCCAGCTGGGGGATGTGATGAAGGAGAGTGCCCGCATCGCCTACACGTTTGCCCGTGCCTTCCTGATGGAACAGGACCCGGACAATGACTTCCTGGTTACCTCCCACATCCACCTACACGTGCCTGAGGTAGGACACTGTCTGGTTGGCACCCTACCCTGTCACCCACCAGCTCCTCTCACTGCCTGCCTCTCTGCAGGGTGCTACCCCTAAGGATGGCCCCAGCGCGGGCTGCACCATCGTGACAGCGCTCCTGTCCCTAGCACTGGGACAGCCTGTGCTGCAAAACCTGGCCATGACAGGGGAGGTCTCCCTCACCGGCAAAGTGCTGCCTGTGGGCGGCATCAAGGAGAAAACAATCGCGGTGAGTGCCCATGCCGCACCCTACCCTACGTCACCTCGGGGAGCTGAATCCAGGACCCTGCTGACTGACTGTTCCCGCAGGCCAAGCGAGCAGGCGTCACCTGCATCGTCTTGCCGGCAGAGAACAGGAAGGACTTTTCGGACCTGGCACCGTTCATCACGGAGGGCCTGGAGGTGCACTTCGTGGAGCACTACCGCGACATCTTCCGCATCGCCTTCCCGCTGCGCGAGCAGCACCAGGCGCGGGCCGTGGAGCGGTGACCCGGGGACTGACTTTGTAATCATGGGGTGGCGGAGCCACAAGCAGAGCTGTAGAATCATGAATAAACTGCCTATTTCCAGATCCGAGCCGATTCACTGCGCCGCCGCAAACACACTCACGCACACACGATCTGCGCCACAGAATCGTTTATTGGGAACGGGGGGGGGGGGGGGGGGGGGCGAATCAGTCCTTCTTGGCCGCCGCCTTCCTCATGGCGGCCAGCACGTTGCTCAACTCCTCCCGCTTCCTCTTGGCGCGTATGTGCGTGCCCACCTGTGGGGAGACGCGCGTCACCCTGGGGCACTGCAGCAATAGCCATGGCCGCGCCCGCCCGCCCGCCGGCCCTCCGCGCCGCCTACCCGCTTCTTGATGAACTTGAGCGCGCGCTTGTCCTTGGACACCTTGAGCAGCTCCATGGCGCGCCGCTCGTAGGGCGCGAAGCCACACACCTCCCGGATCATGTCCCGCACGAACTTGGTGTGCTTTGTGAGGCGCTGCGGGGACCCCGGGACGAGGTCAGAGACGCGCTTCCGCCGCCCCACTCTGACCCTGAGCCCGCCCGCGCCCCGCATTCACCCCGCAGGGCACCCGGCGCCCGCCCGCGCCCCATACTCACCCCGCGCCGCCGGCTGTGCCTCGGCTGGCTCACGTTCTTCGTCACCTTGTGGCCCTTGTTGAGGCCCACGGCCATGGGGTAGCGCAGGGCCATGGCTGCAGGACGACACGGCAGCTGACACCCGGCCCTCGGCCCGCCTGCCCGCCCGCTCCCGACTCGCTCCGCCGCCCGGGAGCCCCGATGGCGGCGGATGCCCCCTTGAAGAGCTCCACTTACCTGCTCCTCTCCAATGGCGGCCGCGACAGGAAGGACGGCACCGCGCGGAACCCTGGGATATCGGCCTCTCGATCGCCGCTGCGGCCAGAGAGGCAGACGCGCCGCGTGCGCCGTCTGGTGGCCGGAGGCTCCGGCGACCACGGAGGGCGGCCTTGGCTGCGGCCTTAGGTCTTCCTTTAGGCTGGGAGCTCGAACTCCAAACTCCCCTCTTGCTATCTGTTAATGCGAGTTACTCTCTGACAGTTAAAGAAACAAAACAAAACAAAAAAACAACAGTTTAAAGTTTTTATTATTGGCTAGAGATAGCGCAGAGGTTTAAGAGTACTTGATTTCCTTCCAAAGAACAAGGGTCCAATTCTTTTTATTTGTTTGTTTTTGTTTTGTTTTGTTTTGTTTTTCGAGACAGGGTTTCTCTGTAGCTTTGAATCCTGTCCTGGAACTAGCTCTTGTAGACCTCAACAGAGATCACCCTCCGAATGCTGGGATTAAAGGCGTGTGTCGGGGGCTGGAGAGATAGCTCAGTGGTTAAGAGCGTTGCCTGCTCTCCCAAAGGTCCTGAGTTCAATTCCCAGCAACCACATGGTGGCTCACAACCATCTGTAATGAGGTCTGATGCCCCCTTCAGGCCTGCAGACATATACACAGACGGAATATTGTATACATAATAAATAAATAAATAAATAAATATTTTTTAAAAAAAATTAAGGCGTGTGTCACCACCGCCCGGCCTGGGTCCAATTCTAAGTATCCACGATGGTGGCTCCAAAACTTCTGAAACTACAGTTCCATGTCATCTGATGCCCTCCTTTGGCGTCCGTGGGCAACATGCACACATGTGATGCACAGACATACCTGCAGATGAAACATAAAATTGAATGAGTACCTAACTAAAACAAAACAAAATAAAACAAAACAAAACCAACTGAACAAAAACTGGGTGGTGTTGGGAGACACTTGGGAGGCTGAGATAAGTGGCATACAGAGTGAGTTCCAGGACAGCCAGGACTGTTTCACAGAGAAACCCTGTCTCGAAAAACAACTTTTTTTTTTCTTTTTTAATACCCGGTGGTGCAGAAGAGAGGGGAATCTCTAAATTCAAGGACAATCTGGTCTAAAAAGCGAGTTCCAGGATAGCCAGACATACACAGAAACCTTACCTCGAAGAAACAAACTAAATAAAAATTAAAAATATATGATTTTCATATATAGATGTTTTGCCTGCATGTGTGTCTATGAACCACGTGCAGAGGGCTAAGGTAGTCAGCAGGCCGCAGTGGGAGGGCCGACACGGAGGGGCGGGACCAGGGTGTAGCCAAGGTGGGAGGACGTGGTCGTCAGCTGAGGCCTGGGTACCAGTAGGGCCGGACCCTAGGGTGGCTGAACCCATCGTCGCGGCTCAGGCGGGTCCAACGTGAGGAGGGGGCGGGGTCTAGAACACAGGCGCAGGAGGGCGGGGAGAAAAGAGCGGCCGCTAGGGGGCGTGGCCAAGGTGGGCAGGGGCGGGGCATAAGGTCCAACATGCAAGCTTCAGTTCTGAGAAAGTTGTAGAAGACCTTCGAGGTACTCAGGGCTCCACCCGCCAGTGGAGGTTCACTCCTGTTTCTGACTTCTGCGGGTTTCTGAGCAAGCACCACACCATAACACACTGCAAGGTACATTCCTGTGGTCACTTTGCCAGGGGAGAAACAGATCTTCCCAAGATCACAAGGAAGTCGGAGGCCTCTGGGAGAGACACTTCCCTTCCTGGGTGCATTTAGAATAAAGGGTCCCTGCTCAATCTGACATGGCTCCCTTCTCTGCTTGGAACGCTTTTCTTAATGTAATTTAATTCTTTCAATCCTTAGGGCCAAAGGTCAACTTCTAGGTACTACTGCCAATTCACACGCTACCTTGAGATGTTGTTCTAGATTCTTCCTACCCACATCCTTTTACCTCTCAGTCAGAAAGGCTGGTTTGCTTTAGTTCTGGGTGAAAGTGTCGGGATAGATTCTCCAAGTCGTGGGGGAACATTGGGCTTTAATCCCAGCACTGAGGAGGCCCAGGTAGGTGAATCTCTACATAACGAATTCCAGGACAGCCAGATACACAGAAAAAGAAAAAAAAAGAAAAAAAAGAAAAAAAACCCAACCCTGTGTTAGAAAAAAAACAACCTATAAATATGAAGAATCTGGGGGTCATGGATATATTTGAATGAGAATGGTCCCCATAGTCTCATATGTTTGATTACCTGTTCCCCAGTTGGTGGAACTGTTTAGGAAGGGTGAGGGGTGCACCTCTATTGAGGTGGGGGGTGACACTGGGGTGTACTTTGAAGTTGCAAGAGCCCACACCATTCCCAGCATTCTCTCTTTGTCTTTGCCTCCTGCTTGTGAACAGGAAAGTAAACTCTCAGCTGCTGCTCCAGCACCAGTCAGTCTGCCTGTTGCTGCTCTGCTCCCTGCCATGATGGTTAGGGACTCCCATGCTGAAACTGTGGAACCCAATAAACGCTTTATAGCTTATAGTGTCTTGCCCGTAGTGTATTGTCATGGCAATTGAAAAGCAACTACGAAAAAGAAAAGAAAAGAAAAGAAAAACTATGACAATGGGTCTCCACAAAAAAATGACACAGCTCTTTATTTCTTTTTAAAAATATTTTACTTAGTTAACGAACACTGGTGTTTTGGCTGTGTATATATCTGTGTGTGTCAGATCTCTTAGAACTGTAGTTACAGACAATTGGAGTTGCCATGTGGTTGGTGGGAATTGAACCCAGGTCCTCTGGAAGAGCAGCCAGTGTTCTTAACCTCTGAGCCACCTCTCCAGCCACAACACAGGTCTTTCTTATCTTTGAATTTCTACCGAAGTCCAGAAGACAAGGAGAAGAAGTTTCCCAAATCCAAAAGACTGAGATTGCACAAGGAGAATCTGTACTGTGTTGCAAAGTCCACACATCTTCCTCATATACCCACCTTCCCGCTTTCAGTGTGAACCTGTGAAACTTCCAGGCTAGGACCATAGTAAGCCAACAAGGTGTGCGGAGGGCTGGAGAGGTGGACGTGGATGAGCCTGTGCCTGCAGCAGCACAGTGAATGTAGGATTGTAGCATTCAAACTCTCGAAGAACTCTCTGCTCCATGATTTCGGGGTTCTCAAGTTCCACGCTGGATAAAGGGGCATGAATCCCCTGCTACGGCCTCCAGCAACCACTTATCCACTCAGACCTGTTTCCCCCATCTCATAGCCTTACAGGATCATCCCTTTGGTTACCTGCTGCTTCTTTGCCCCATCTAACCCCGGACTACCCACCGCCAACCCTGTATTACGTGACCCCGAACCTCCGGGCTTGCAGGTACAAAACACCCTGGCAGCAAGCAACCTCCGTCAGAGTCCTACCAGCTAGCCGCGGCCTCTGCCACGCCCTCTAGGTGAAAGCCACACCCCTAGACGTAAATGGAACTCACTTTTCTGGCGCAATACCGCCCTCCCGTTGCCGTGGCAACCGCCGCCTACGCTGACTTCCCCTCAGGACGCTCAATCCTTCGCGCAGGCGCGGGGATCTCGTCTGCGTCCTCTGAGGGCTCCGTCCATCGTCCCTCCAAACTACATTTCCCGGGAGTCTTCGCGGCCTAGCGCCTCCCGACTACATTTCCTTGAAGAAATTGCCACAACCAAGGTCCTGGAAAGACTGAATCTAACCCGATTGTCGCTCCCAGAGTCCTTTGCGGGGACTACATTTCCCAGGAGACTCAGCAGCTTCGCTTACCGGAAGCGGCGGGTGAATTGCGTGCCCTTGCGCGGGGAGTGAAACGAGAGACAGACCATGGTGGCTCGAGTGTGGTCGCTAATGAGGTGCGTGGAGACTCGGGTGGGTCCTGAGCCTTCGGGAAAGTTCCGTGCTGCAAGCGTCTGTACCTTGCGGCTTGGTGTCCTGCGACTCCTCACTTCCGGTTGCATCTGGACCCCTTCTCACGGCCCGTGTAGGGAAACAGACTCATTGGCAAAGCTAACTGGATCGCCTCTCCTACCTCCCAACTTGTCACTTACAGCTTCAGTTTTCACTTATGTATAATGGGGACTCGTGGGAAATCTTGCCCTTACCCCCTCTCCGGAGCATGAGTGACATGAAGTTCCCTTGGTCTCCCTGGAAGGTTTTATGTCCGGTGTCTCCTGATGTCGGCAGGATTTCGAACGATTCACTGTCTCTTACTTTAAGACTTGGTTTAAAACTCGTGTCACACAAGGCAAAATGAATGATCCTTGTTCCCTGACCACCCAGGGTGTCCCCGGATGGCGACCCTGCCGCCACAGCTTCTGTCCCTGCCTGTCTCTCCTAGGTTCCTCATCAAGGGAAGTGTGGCGGGGGGGAGCAGTTTACCTTGTTTATGACCAGGAGCTGCTGGGGCCCAGCGACAAGAGCGAAGCTGCGCTACGGAAGGCCGAGGAGGTGGTGCCACCAGCAATGTACCAGTTCAGCCAGTATGTGTGCCAGCAGACGGGTCTGGAGATGCCACAGGTATGGCTGGGACTCAGGCCGGTTATGGTTGGCCTTGGTACCCCACCGCTCCTACTTGGTTGAGTTTATGTTGCTGGGTTTGGGTGACAAGGCTGTGACCTATCCCCACGCACCAGCCCTGTGCTCCTCCTCTTTCTTCCCAGCTCCCAGCCCCTCCAAAGATTAACTTTCCGAACTTCCGTGACTCCTGGAACTCAGGTAGGCCCCCTGTGCCCTTGTTTGGGGGATACCTGGACATGCCAGCCCTGGTCCCAGCCCTGTTTGCCTTGCTGTTCCTTCCCATTCCTCCCAGTTTATCTGTTTGTGTGCCTGTATGTCACCTATGAAGCTAAGTAGAAATGACTGGGCTTGGTGGCACATGCTGGTGTCTTTAGCATTTGGGAAGCAGAGGCAGAAGATTTTAATTCCAGGCTAACTTGGTCTACCAAGTGAATTCTAGGACAACCACGACTACAAAGAAAAATCCTGTCTAAAAACAAAACCATCAGGGGCTGGAGAGATGGCTCAGAGGTTAAGAGCATTACCTGCTCTTCCAAAGGTCCTGAGTTCAATTCCCAGCAATCACATGGTGGCTCACAACCATCTGTAATGGGGTCTGGTGCCCTCTTCTGGCCACAGACAGAATATTGTATACATGATAAAGTAAATAAAAAAAAAACCATCTGAGAAACGTGTAGGGAAGGGGTGACCCCACTCCTGCTGCTCCAGCTACCACTTTTCGGCTGTGAAAGTGGGGTCTCATTGGCACCCATGCACTGTCCCTACAGGCATCATTTCCGTCATGGCAGCTTTGTCAGTGGCCCCCACCAAGGCCCGAGAATACTCCAAAGAGGGCTGGGAGTACGTGAAAGAATACACCAAGTAACAGATGCCACTTGTCCCAGCATTATGGGGGTCAAGACCAGGATGCCACAGACTCAACCACAGTGGGGACCTCACTCTGAGGGCAGCTTCCAGCATTGCTGGTCCAATAAAGGACTTGAGATACTCCCCAACCGTGTTCTGGTAGAATGGAGTGGACTGGAGGAAACTGGATCACCTGGGCTTTTGGGGGTCCGAACCAATGGGGATCTTTGTGTTCCAGATGTAAAGCTTGGAGCCCAGATAGGTTTTTTGTTTTCAATTTTAAAAAACTGTGTCTTAGGGTTTCTATTTCTGTGATAAAGCATTACGCCTGAAAGCTGCTCAGGCAGGACAGGGTTTGTTTCAGCAGCTTGTTCCTCAGGCCACACCCCGTTGCTGAGGGAAGTCGGGCAGACCTGGAGACAGCACTGAAGCAGAGGTCATGGATGTTCATGTTGGGGTGGGGGGTGCTCCTTCACCAGCCCAGGGTGGTGCTGTTTACTGCCCCTCACACATCAGCCATTATTCACGAAGATGCCTCACAGGCCCATCTGATGGAGGCATTTCCTTAGTGTCCCTCTTCCCAGGTGACTATTTTGTCAAAAGTACTGACTAGCGGTGCTTCCCTGTGTGCATGTGTGCATGTATGTGTGTGGACTGCCCACACTACCCAGGAGGGTCCTATCTGGAGCTGGGTGTATAAGCAGTCCTGAGATGCCTGTCATGGGTACTGACTGGATCACTGAACCATCCCCCTAGCCCTCAGAGAGGATGAAGTATAGGTACTAGGGTTGGGGAAGCCTGGACATGGGGAGGTCCTCAACAGGGGTTTCATTTAAGCAGACCAGTTCTTGACTTTCCCCTTGCCCAGTCCAATCATAACCACTCAGGCCTCCCAACCTTGTCCCCTGAAGGTCCCTTTTCCCAGGAACCATGTAACAGGCTGCATCAGCTGTCTGAGGCCTTAGTCAGAGAAGGCTGTGATTGGCAGTCAGGCCCAGAATGGGTGGGGCTAAAGTGGGAAGACTCTAAGCCATCTTTGGGCTCTGGGTCACCTCCAGGCACAGCTTTTGTCATACAGCTATTTGTATATTCACAGAACACCCTGGAAACCCAGTGCACAGATGGAGGGGATTTGGGCTGGCTGATCACAATGGACTTTTCTAGGTTCACTCCTGGGCTGCAGAGAGCACCTAGCATTGGGCTTATTGTCACTCTGCTGAAGTCCAGAGTTGGTGACATGTGTCTTACACTCTAAAACCAGGGGCTGCGTGTCACTGTGCCCCTCACACCGCTGCTGCCCCCTCCAGAAGCCAGCTTTGTTCTTTTAGAGGTCTGTGCACAGGAAGGATAGCCCTGAGTGTCCTTCATGCTCACCAAGCCTGAGCTCGCAGCATAGGACCAAATAGGCTGTCTTCCCATGTGCCAAGGCCACAGCACAGGCGCCACAGAATGGGACTGACTAGGCACTGTGGACACAGCTTGTACAGCTGCTTATACAGTACTTCTCTCTCTTGATGAAAATAAGAGGCCAGGCTTGAAGTAAAGGGCACATGAACAGAAACACCTTTATTACAAAAAACAGCAACAAAAACCAAATGAAAACAAATTCACATTGTTAACAAGCTACAATATGGCAGCAGATTAAAAAAAAAAAAATCCTTTATACAATGGTGGAGAAGTCCTGACAGGACACGGAGGTCACAGTTGGGCAGCACAGGTGCTCAGTAGCGGCGGGTGAAGCGCGCGTCACTGGGTCTGCTGCCCCGGCTCTGTCCTCCAAAGCCTCCCTGCATCCCTCCACGTGGGATCACATGGCCACGTGAGGCTCCACCAGGGGCGAAACTGCCACGCCTAAGGAGAGGCCCGGGACCACTGATTATCCTGAGGTCCTGACTTAGCCTCCCCCAAGCCACAGGCGGTCGCCGACTCACTGCAGTGCAACCCTGCTCCTGCCTGGCAGTAGAGTACTTACCCTGACATGCCACCACGGTTCATCATGTGGCCGGGCCCAGAGTGGCCAGACATGCTCCTCTCACCTCCTGCAGGATGAGGCACAAGTCCAAGAGGGCAGGTTGGCAGGTGTGGAGCCAACAGCTGCTTGGTCTCAGCTGGCCCTATCCCACCCCAGTCCCTCCTCAGCCAGTGCCCCTGGCTTCCACCTAGTTCTCACCTTGCCACCTCTTGTGCTCACGCTCCATCATGCCTCCGTCAGCTGCGCCCTGCCACGCCCGGTCGTCTTCAAGTCTCCGACTGTGCTCCCCCCAGTCACGCCTGCCCCTTGGAAAGAGACCCCTCTGACCTGCACTGCCACACACACCAGGCCCTCAGCAGACAGTGTGGTTGGGAGGTTCAGGCTCCACCAGGTCAGGCTGGCAGCCACCCCCAGTCCAGGCCTTGGGAGAGTGGGACACAAACCTGGGAGGTGGGGGCAGCCCTCGGCCTTCACTCATTCTCTTGTTGGAGCCATAGCCCCAGCCATCTCGAGAGTCCCGGCCGTGGCGTTCAGGTCCTCCATGGCGCTCAGGGTAATGCTGGACCAGAGAAAAGGGTGAGGTCAGCATTGTCTCTGATCTCTAAGTGCGAGGATACAAAGCTCAGGGAGCAGAGTGTGGCCTCTATCAGTGTCCTCCTTCATGAAGGGTTAGGTTCACAAGGCTCCTTACAAAGAGCCCGGCCTATGCATAGCACCCTTGCTTTACAAACGTGAGACACCAAACAGAAGAGTGGCCGCACACGGATACCCACATGAACTCTTGCGCAAAGCCTTACTCTGTGGCCAAGACTGTATGTCAGTGTCAGTAACCCCTATCTTAACTACCTGAGTGGTGGGATTCTGAGTGTGATCAGCACTGGCTCATCAAAACTGTTTGAAGGGCCAAGGCAGAAAGACTTGATAACACCAAGAGAAGCCAAGCACAGCGAGCACCTCCCAAAGCCCCCAGTCTCCTGCCTGACCACAAACAGTCCTGGTCACTGGCGTTCTTGGCCAGCTCTTGCTCTGTCTTCCTATCTCTAAGTCAGAAGACATTGTCACTGTCCTTCTTTGTAGAGTGACAACTGCATGTGCAAATGAACACTCATACAGGCCACTTCTAGCCACCGGTTCCCACAGAGACAACTAGCTATGTGGAAATAGCGACATCAGGATGGTAGCCTGTGGCAAAGCCAAACCATAACAGGGCTGAGGAATGAGTGTATCCAAGGGCCGCAGACAACCCAACGTGTCTGCGGATGGTAAGCAAGACAGTAGTGACGGTGGCACTGTGCAGCTAAAGCCTGACACAGTGGGAGAGCAAAAGGGGACAGAAGGTTGCAAGGGGCGCTGGGGTAAGCCCCCCTCGGGTAGCAGTGGCTCAGGTGTGTAGGAGGGAATGGGGTGCTGGTGCTAGCACTGTGGCTCCAGAGTAGCAGTGTGAGCACTAGCAGCAGCGAGTGGGACCGCCCTTTCACAGCTGAAGCAGTGCCCCGTGCTCACCTGTCCATCTCGGTCTCCCATCATCGACCTTGAACCTTCTCTCCTAAAAAACATGATTTCAATGAGACCAGATGGGAGGGGTCTATGTGCACAGAGCCCGCCCAACATGGCTCAGGCTCACCTGTCCACAGAGTGGTTGGGATAGCGTCCCCGGTCTCTGTGGTCGAAGTCATGGAAGCGGTCCTGGCGTCCAAAATCTGAGTGGTAGCGGTCATCCAGTGCGGCCCGTTTGGCTTCTGGCCAGTAGGCATCATCACGCCTGTGATGGGGTATGAGGCAAGGACATAAGGCACCTAGAGCCTGCACAGCTCCAAGTCCCAACCATGTCCCTGGCAAGAGCTTTCTGTGGAGGCTGTAACAAACCCTTGGTCCAAACATCCCCACCTCTGCCTTAATGCCACCGTGGGTGCTGGATGTCCTGGCCTTTTAGTACTGGCAACTTCATAGGATAGGACACCTGCCTGCCTTCTACCATAGCTTCATACACCAATAGGCAGCAGGCTTGGCCTTAGGTCCGACAGTGAGACCCTGCCCCGCCCCGCGCACCTGAACCTCTGGCTGCTCACCGGCCATCTACATCATAAGGCCTGCGCACGGCTGGCCGGCGCTCCTGCTCATAGCGCAGCTCCTGTTGCCGTCGCAGCTCCTCTCGCTCACGGTGGATGCGCTCCTGCTCACGCCTCCGCTCCTGCTCCACATGCATGCGCTCGCGCTCCAGCCGCTCACGCTCCATGCGCTCACGCTCTAGCCGATGGCGGTGGAAAGCCAGGCGCTCACGGGCGATTTCTAGCCTCTCCCGCTCCTCCCGCTCCCACTGTGCCTGCAGCCGCTGCTCCCGCTCACTGCGTTCCCGCTCCCTGTAAGAGGAGGGCAAGTCAAGGCAGAGGGCTCAATGTGAGAAGCTAGGGGCATGCTAGGACAGCACTGCCACCTCCTGTCTTCCTCTCCCTTTCCCCTTCTCCCAGCAGAGCAGCCACAGACAGGCTCTGTCCCATTGTGCCCGGAGCTGGGTGCCCCAGAGCCCACTTTAAACACACACACTGCCTCAAGCAAGGGCCACTTTAGAAACTGCAACAGTGCTGTGATCAGCTGTCAAATGCCTGGTATACCTTTCCCGATCCTTCCTGGGCAAGTGAATATCCCCACCGTCCCTGCCCTGCTGGCCACTTTCTGAGGTCTCTGAAGATGGTGAAATACTGCAGGCAGTCAGGGCCCTCAAAGTGCCCAGCCAGTCAGCCACTCACACACACACCCATGGCTGTCCCTTCCAGCCCTGCTCACCTCCGTGACTCGGAGTCTCTGGACTTTCGGGAATCTTTAACCTTGTCAAAGGACACGACAGACCGCTTTTCCCGGCTGGCCGACTTTCGGTCCTGGCTTTTGGAGGCCTGGTTTAGTAACAGAAAGAGAATTAGTGCAGGAGGGACAGAGGCACCTGGCACAGGGACAGTCGCTGACTGAAGGTGCTCACAGGAGAGCTCAACAAAAACACAACAGGCTCAAATGGAGCTGCCTATATCTCCAAATGGCATAATGTCACTACCCATCATCTCCCGCCCCAAGAAATACCAGCCTCTAGCATGCAGTGCTGAGTTGTGAGCCCCAGGCTGGCTAAGTTAGAACTATTGCTCTACATTTTCCAATTACAATGAAACTCTAACTTTCTGGAGACAA